AATAATAAATAAAATTTTAAATATAAAAATAACTTTTTTCAAGATTTAAAATTAATTAAAATATATTAATTTTAATAATGTGTAGAGTGACGGGAGTGGAAATAATTTGAAAATTTAGCAATATGGTACACGTTGCTGATAGGTGAGGAAGCTAAAATTGAAAAATGCTTTAGCAACAAGGGACACGATGGTAATAGTGATAAGGACTTTCAGCAACATAGCTCTTGTTGCTGAAAGTCCTTTATATACCCACCCCTTCCCCACCTTCCTCGCATATCAGCTCCCTTAATCCTTCTCTCCTATGCTACCTGCACTTTCCTCAGGCCATCACCATGTCTAGCTCCGATCTTGCATGCTGGCCGGACCATCCTCAGCCATCTCCATGTCTTATGCAATTCTCTCCTCCACTTCCTTCTCTTGCGTCCATTCTGCACCATCATAGCTAGCTCAAGCCATGCATCTCGATCCATGTTCGATCTGCATGCTGCGGATCGGCTGGAGATATCTGGCCGGCAACCTAGCTAGCTAGCTCCTTTCTCCTGCATGCTGCAGATATCATCAGGCATCTCTAGGTGACAGCATGCTGTGTGCTACAGATCTCTCTAGGCCGGCCGCGCGGATGACGCCCAAACTCTCAACCTCTGTTTTTTTTTTTTTTTCCTGTTAATTCCCTTGAAGGACATTGTATGAAATATTTTTGTAAATTAAAAATTAATTATTTCTTAATTAATTAATTAATTAGGTATCAATTTATATTATTTGAAAGTTCATATATATTTATAAATAATTATATAGTAATTATTTTAATTGTGCTACTTTATTTGTTTTGTATGTAATTATTAATAAAATATAATATTCAAATTTAGTAAAAAAACTCAACTAATTAGATCATAAAAATTAATCAACTTAAATTTGTTTAATTTATATATAGTTATTAAGCTAAAAATTTGATTAATATATATCTAATTAATATATAAATATTAATTATATGGTATATATATGA